ACTGACAAATTATATATCAATAAAAGCATATGTTTACCCTGACAGTATAACATTATATACAAAATATATGTAGTTGAAGCCATAAAACTGCAAAATATTTAGATTTCGGCATTAATATAACACATTGATGTTGATATGCCGCTAAGCAAAATCAATGATAATGGTAAGATGTTGAATTTAGTTGTTTTAATATAGGAAACATTCAGAAATTATTGAACAAAGAGCATTATGGCATTTTTTTCAGGCAATTAGACTCTTCTCATATTCACTTACTGTTATCGTTCTCTTACTGACAAGAGCTTCCTTTCAAAAGTTCCGATTTTGATAGTAAGGAAAGTTAACATCTTGATGATATCATTATTTGCCCTTTTTGTTACATATGATACTCAAATTTGTTTTTGTTGTTGTTGGTATTCTTCAAGTGATGTGGTTTTTCTTATTTGCGAATATTTTTCCTACGTTTGTTTTTACGTTCTTGCTGTACGGTGGGTTGAACCATATGATATTTCTTCTCCTGTTGGTCTTTTTGTATTCTGTGGTGAATATGTGAGTATTGCTGGGAATCCGCTATCTTTTTAGGGCCGTTTCATAGTCTTTCTTAGCTTTGTTGAATAAAGGATTCATTGGAGGAATTGTCGGAGAGCCTGCGGTTAATCGATTTTGGTATCTGTTTGATTATAGAAGGCGGATGGTTGGAAGATGTGTGTATGTAGAGTGGTTTATCGTTAGGTTTTCTGTATGGTTTATATGTGCCTTCTCTTAGGTTGAAGGTAACATCTAGGAAATCTACTTCGTTTAGATTAGTTTTTATATCTATGTCGAATCCGTTATTTTAAAAATCTTTTATTATTGCTTTTCTAGTTTTGTCTGTGTTTTGTTTGTTACAGTTTCTTAAGATTATGAGACCGTCGTCCCTGTAGAGTCCTGTGTCATTTTTATCTATTATTTTGCTCAGTTCGTGTAGTAAATAAATACCTATGATTTCGCATGCCTCTGCACCGTCAAAGCTTCCCATTGTAGTGTCAAATATCCCATCTTTCTTTATCCATGCTTCTTCGTTGTGGAATAATAATGATTTACGGGAGTGCTTAATGATGTTGATTTCGCTTGGTTTTATTATTATTTGTTCCTGAGCTAAGTTGATGGCCTTATCTAGCATACGTTCTGTTATGGATGGGTAAAATTCTTTTATGTCTAATTGTAGGAATTGGCAATTTTGTTTGTTATTTATGTTGTGGAACCAGTCAATAGTTGTTTTCGTATTTTTCCACTGGTTTACTCCTAATTTCTTCCTAAGTTCAGAATTAATTCTTTCTAGTATTGTTTTACTTATTTTACCTAGTTCGCTTTTGGCTGGGTTTATGAGTCTGCATGCAGGATTAGTTTTGAAATTTTCTTTATGGTCTTTTAGTGTGATAAAGGCTCGTGCCTTGCTAATACAATTTATTCGGTCATCTAGGTCTAATTTTTGGGCGATTGTTTTAGCTTCCTTATTGATATCGTGTTCTGTTGTTTGGGGTGTTTTTTTGTATGTTTTGCTTATGCTGTTCTTGAGTAATTTATTGTGTGTAGGAGGGCTTAGTTTGTATAAATTTCTCGTTTTGTCAGCAGCGATAAATACACTTGCTGAATTGTTTATTTTAGTTATATCTGCTTTTAGTTTTTTTTTTTAGAATGCATCTTGTTTTTATGGAATTTTATGTTTCTAACTAGGTCAGTTAAGTCTTTCTCGAAATCGTCTAATTCTTTTTTTGTTGTCGGGGGGCATTTTTTTGTTTTTGAAGCCGTATTTTTCCTTCTTAGGTGTGTTGTTATTGTGAAGGTCCTGATTTAAAAGTGGACTTTCCATCTCATTCTTTTTATGAAACTTTCTATTTTTTCAATTAATTTTAGTTTATATATAGTAGGTGACGGGATGGGTATGTTTTTTAGGGAGTAGTCGAGGTTAAATATTTCCATGTCCATACTGTGTTATAAATGTAGCGAGAGTGCTCTACTGTTTACCAGGAGCTGAATATAAAGAAATATAGTCTTAAGGTGTGCTATATTTATGGGATAAAGTGCTCAATATCAGAGAAATATCATATGGTTCAACCCACCGTAAAGCAAGAACGTAAAAACAAACGTAGGAAAAATATTCTTCAAACTCTTACACAAACACTTCCCAGAATCAAGCACCTTACACAAGATATTCAACAAAAACACAGTAAAAATCAGCTACAGCTGCACCGAGAGCATGGCACAAATAATAAAAAAAAGCACAATAGGAAAATTATCAACAAAACCACACGAACAAATTAAACCCACGTGCAACTGCAGAATAAAGAACGAATGTCCCTTAAACGGAAATTGTTTACAAAACAACGTAATATACCAAGCTACGATAAAATCACCAGATAATGAAGAAAAAAGTATACATAGGAGTAACTGAAGGACCCTGGAGGCAAAGAAATTATACACAAAAAACATCGTTCACAAATAGTAAATATGCGAACAGTACTATGCTTTCTAAGTATATCTGGGAAATAAAAACAAAACGCACATCACACCAAAAATATCTTGGAAGATAAGGAAAAGTCATCAGCCTACAACAACCAATCAAAAACTTGCAAACTTTGCTTGGAGGAAAAAATAGCTATCATTACTTTCCCCGACCAAAATAAATCATTAAATAAAAGATCCGAGCTCATCTCAAAATGCAGGCATGAAAATAAATTTTACTACGTAACCTAAAAAATGAAAACGGAAAAATAAAAACAAACAAATACACTAATAAAAAAATAAAATAAAATAAAATAAATAAATAAATACT